TCTGAAGCACTTGTTTTGTCAGGGCAGGACAGCGCAACACATCAGCAGACAGGTCTGTCTGATGCAGGGTCAGGTGGAGTGACCTGGTGGTCCCTGGAATAGAAGGCTGGGAACAAGGGGGACAGTGACACCCAAAACAAACAGCCACCTCTGGTCACACCACCAGACGTTTGCCTGCACATGCCCAGGGCTAAACCAAGGGTCATATTTGGGCCAGAGCAGAAATTCCCACCTCTGTACTCCTGGGTGCTCTGAGACACTCTGAGAATGACTGGGACACGGGAGAGGACTGCTGCAGGAGAGGCATTGGCATTCACAGCACAGGTCATACCCACACGGAGCTCTGCTTTCCCTTTATCTCCTAAACTGAAAATGAATAACCATTTAAGCACATTTGTTATTTAAATAAGGCCAAAAAAAAGAACATAATTATTATGAAAACCACTGCACTGTGAAACCTGTAACATTTAAATCCAATTGTTGACCTTAAAGAGTTTCAGCTCATTACACTTCCCAGAGGTAAGAAAGGGGCAAGCAAGTACTGCAGAGGGCAGCTATGGTGGCACATAATTCTGTGTTGTAATGAGCTCTTCAATAAACCTCTGCAATACATTTTGTTAACACCTACCTGCCGTCCTCCCTTGTCATTTTCTCCTTCACCACTTGATTCCTCTCCAAGCATCTGAAGAGACTGCCTGACTTTAATCAAAGAAATATTTCATAATGTTTCCAGGCCTTGGAGCACATCAGAGTTCTTTCAACTCATCTAATGTCTTTGAAGAGCTGACATGCTCCTGGGACCAGCCTCTGGCTCACAGCCCTCGGGAATGCCAGGAAAACTGTCTTTGGTAATGCTTTATATACTGCATGTTCGACCCACACACCAGCGTTGCCCAAGCTGGTTTTCTCCATGCCAGAACCAGGACCAGCTGAGACCCATCACTGCTGGGACAGGGAGAGCAACACTGTCTGCTCTGGGTCAGGGTGAAATAGATGGGAAATGCTGCTGTAACTTAGCTAAAAGCAGTTGGCTGAAAGGAATACCTTGCAGCAGGAGCACCGATGGTATTCAAAGGCTGATAGCAAAGTCTGATTCTTCTCTCAGACATCTGAGGTGCTTCACCGTAGAACTGGTGAAAGAGGGAATCCGACTGCTTCATTTATGCAGCAGTCAAGAAATTATGTTAATCAGCCTTGGTAATCAAGAAATGCTTAATGCAACACCAGACACTGCCTAATGCTGCCTCTGCCAGGGAAGTGGAGGGAAGAAGCAGAGCTCTAGGGGAGCCACAGGGCCTGAGAAAAACAGATGACTTTGTTACATGAAGTCCACATTCAACTGTTTTATGTTTTTCAACTGGGTTTATGCCTACTTGGTTAGAACAGTGCTTAACGCCATTCCCATCTCAGAGGACGCAGCACCTCTGAGCTCTCCCCAGCCAGAACAAGAGTACATTGCTTTACTGCAGACCTGATTCCTAATTTGTCACACAAGGTCAAGATACGGCAACACTTTGGACTGTTTCAAGCAGTGCTTGCATTTCTTGCCAGCATGTTGTATATCCTTATGGAAAATGCACCTACAGGGAAATGTAACAGCAGCTGCTGTGTGCTCAGCAGGAATCCAGGCACCGACAAACACATGACCATGCAGATAAAGAGCGTGAGAGATACAGTCCTCCTGCTTTCTTCTACATTAACACAATCCACAGTAATGAGAAATAACAGGCAGCCCCATTTAGTGAGTTAGTCACTGCACAGACACCCAGCAGAGGCTGTCCTTGCCCTCTGTCACCAGTGACACACGGACACCATGTGGCACTGCACCAGGGAGCCATCTGGGCTAGCTCCAGTCCCACAGCCCACCTGGGAGCTGGGTGCACTGCTGCACCCAAACGCGGTGTCCCAGTACTGAAGCCAGCTCAGGGGCCTCAATGCAAAACTGTGTCATGCAGGGCCCTTCTGAAAACTGGTCCCCAGTGGGAAATGCAACTTTCTGGGAAGTGTCCCAGAGGGGAGAGAGCACACTGGAGAACCCCTGCAAAACACAATGGAGTCTTAATAACTGGTGGGCAGGTTTCTCAGCAGTATGTAATGCCAAGTAAAAGTAAAATAACAACCCAAGTCTCACAGTTGATTTGCTTTCTTAAGTTTTCTTAGTTTGAAAATATATTACTCAGTGTTGCCATTTACTCATGATAACTATCAGCATAGCACCCTCCTCCATGTCTTCCCAGAGCCACCCTCTGCCTGTTGCATGTCAGCTGTGAGAAGAAGCAAGGACAAGCAAGTTCCCCTCTAGGCCAAAGGAATAGGAGGAAAATAGGAGACAGCAAAAACAATGATTGGTAAGAGCCAAACAAGGGGCAGAGGAGGAGCAAAAAGCAGAGCCAGAGAACAGGTGCCAGCCCTAATGAATATCAAACACATGTGATCACTGCCCACAGGCTACACTTTAGTGTATGGGAACCTCCATACTGACTGCAAGAGCCATGATTAGCCCCCTCTCACTCCTACAGTGTGGGGAAGCCCCACCCTGGGCAAGGGCTGGGAGGACACAGTTGCCTGGAAGTGAGAAATGAACAGTTTGCTATGCTGTAAAGCTTTAAGATTAGAGTAGTGCCTGATCCTGCAATGCAGTTGGGGAAGGGATCACATTTCCATCTCTGCCTATGGCACCAACCAGTTTACTTCATTCTTTGGACTCAGTTTCTGCTTCTCATCTTGGACTTTCTTGCTTAAATCAAGTCTTGGAGTGACAACTGCCTTCCCCTGTGTGCCTGCACGCCCAGAGCACTGTTCAGTGAGTTGCTCCCACAATAGAAACTGCACAATCAACCGTCAGTGTTAAGGTCTTCACTTTCCAGCACTGTGTCTCTCCTGACAAAGGGCCTGCTCACATCACTAGGTCTGGATCAGCAATGCCCAACAGCCTGACCACAGATGTTATCAGGCAGGAAGGCTCCTCCTGCATAAACCCACCAGCTGCCGCAATACCAGAAGAGCCAAACTGCACACGTATGGGAAGTCCAACGCTATATGGTATTTACTGACTGTGTGCAAACCAACTCCTGAATGTGCCCGAGAAGGGTCATCTGCCACGGACATACCTCCATGTGGCCCAAAGAAAAGAAATCACCTAGCACAGGGCTGCTGCTACATGGACAACATGTGCAGCTGAGGAATGAGATCTTCTTCCCCAAGGGCTCTCTGGAAGCAGATAGTGAGCCAGGCACAGACCAGATGAATTGTGGTGGTAGCAAGCTCCTCTCTTACCACTGTCATGCCTCTCAGATTTTCTCCATTATATGATGGGGGAAAATTGCAGAGTCTAAAAGAAATGGTGACTGGGAGCAGGCTGCCAGCACAGCAGCCTCTAACCTGCAAGTCTGAGGCAGGCAGGAGTAGGCCAACGGCACACAGCTGCCCTCCAAGTCCCCACATGATTCAGGATGGGCACCTCGGTTTAGATGCCATTAGTTACAGCAGCAATGACCTGCCTATACCATAGATCTTGCTACAACTACAGGCAATGAAACAATGAAAAGCGCAATGAGGGCATAGCCTAGCAGTAATGGCTTCCAGTGGCACCAATAGCCACTCACCCTGCAAAAGCCAGTCCCTTATATTTTAATTCTGGAAATGCATTCCAGGTAGCACGCTCCTTTGACAGCACAAGAGCTGTGTTAAATAAATTGTGCTAGTCATTGCAGGCAACGGCAGCAATGGCTGCTATGAGTCAGCCAGCCCAGCATCAGTTCCCCTCCAGTCCAGTTTTTTGTTCTTCTGAAGTACAATAAATAAAACTTGTTCCACTGCCAAAATTTAGGGGTTGAAACTACCCTGCAGAAAACTTGCACCAATACTGCATTCACTTTAATCTTTTTCCTTTTTTTTTTTTTTTTAATAGGGGCATCTGCACTGTCACTCCACACCATGAGCCCTGGTGCTACAGGCATAGAGCCCTGCACTCACAGGAATGCAGGCATTTAGCAGAGCTCATCAGGGTATTCCAGCTGTGCAACTGACACCTCAGAGGAGCTTTCAAACAACACTACAATGAAGACCTAGAGAAATCTGGGGAGTGACAGCATGAACTGTGGGTGCTTGAGGGTGAAGGAAGAGAAAAAGGGCTGTGGTATCCCCACTGGCTCTCCAGTTCCCCTTGAGGAAATCATTATTACCATGATGAAAAGAGTAAATTCCAAACTGAGAGATCTGTGACCCCTGACAGACACCAAAACAGGCTGGACTGAACTTCAGGCAATGTTTTGACTCTTCAGCTAAACTCCTGACGTGCGGAAAACAGACTCCACAATCAGTGAGATTGTAAAGTAGGTATGTTCATTCAGCACTGGGCAGCACGGGGGTAGTCCCACCAAAGTCGTGCGTGCCTGACTCGGCAGTTTGCTTCAAATTTATACAGCCAAGTGTTACATATACATAAAGTTTTGCAATACACCTATACATAGGCATGATCTATCCCCGCTTCATATTAAAATTAGTTCCAAGAAGTCACAAGGCCGGTCTTGGCTGGTTCTTGGGGTCGACTGCTGCTTCTTATCAGGGACTTTATCCTGCCCCAGCCAGCCTCAACAATGCAGGTGTTAAGCTTCACTTCTCATCCCCTTGGGCCATGCCTACCTCTACTGAAATTTCTTTAACTTCACTATAAGCTAGATAATTATTAAACAGTTCCTATCTACATCCATATATCTACTATATCTACTAAGGTTCCTTTGGCTCCCTGTTTCACTCCTTCACATGCCATTCATTCCCTCCTCCCTGACCCACAGTTTTATACAGCAAACAGCTTTACTTTTCCTGCCCAGAGCTCCATTCCAATTAGCTGTGGGCTGCAGGGAAGCCACTACAGCTACACCAGCATAAACTGGCATAAGAGAAGGGAGAACCAGGCCCTTTTTCTTTAAAAGCTCAACACTGGCCTTACTGATTTCCATGGCCATATTTTCCTACTTAATCCTCTTTGCTGTAATTCAAAAGAGTGAAATAAACGCTGTGCAGAGGTAGTATCCGAGTTTGGCCATTATTTTGTTAACATATGCACAAAGTGCTAGTTACTGTTATTAACGCAATAAACAATCTTTATTCTGCTATTTTAAAAGAGGTAATAGCTGTAGCCTGCATTAAAAATAACTTTGATGCTGTAAAAAAACAAACAAAATGCCACAGATAGTGGAGGAAACACCACAGGCTACAACTTTTCTAGAACCACACACCAGTTTCCCTGATCATAGTAACTCTTCTGAACCCTCACACAATCCAGGGATCTGCATGCTGCTTCCAGTTCCCCTTCACAAAACACATGGTAATAGCGGTGGAAAACAGGGCTGAGCTCTTGTGATTCCTTGGAGCCAGCTGGACACAACACTGTATCAATGCTTTCCCCTTTCTTTTTAGTGCCACCTTTCAGGTGCCAGGGAACTAGCAAGTCTTGAGAGTGAAAGGAGGTTCGGTTAGTGTGAACAGGCAGTCTGGAGTCTGCTACTAACTTCGCAGCACAGCCTTCGTCATTCAAGTCATTAAGAAGTCCGTCAGAACATGCTGAGTCTTGGCTGCTGCTATCAGGCATTTGATCGCTAAGTGGTCTCTGGCCTCCGCCAATATTGATTTCCCCCTCTTTGTCTTTACTATCATTCTTTTCCTTAAGGTATTTAGACTTCTGGTTTTTGTATTCTTGTTCCATTGCCCAGACATAAATGAGTGCCGTTCCACCAGGTCTTAGAAGCCGGGCTAGTTCACAGATAGCAGCCAGTCTCCTCTCCTATAAGGGAAAAGGAAAAGTGTGAAGCTAGTACATAAATAAAAAGACAGGAGAATGGAATGTCCCCCCTCAGGATACAATAAAAATCAGAGGAATTTTTTTCCACTATTCACTTTCACTCACTCGTAATATAGTCCATCACTATGTGCAAGCCAAGACATTTTCCTAAACACAATTCTCACTGAAACACAATTTATTCACTGAAAGCGTTGTCAAGCATTGGCACAGGCTGCCCAGGGAAGTGGTTGAGTCACCCCCCCTGGAGGTATTTAAAAGACACATTAGATGTGGCACTTAGGCACATTGTTTAGTGGTGGACTTGGCAGTGTTAGGTTTATGGTTGAACTCGATAATCTTAAAGGTCTTTTCTAACCTAAATGATTCTGTGATTCTCCTTCCATTTGAAAGTAGTGCTGTGCTGAGCAGGATTTCTTGGACATATCAGCCCAGCTGGAAATGACACATGCCCCTTCAAGAAGGTTGTTCAGTATTTAAAATCCCAGATTCAAATCTACCATACCTGATGATACACACACTAAGTTTGCAGCTGAAGGAGTCAGATGTACAGCTTAAACAGGTCCTCTGACCATCCGAACAAAGATACATCAGCATTCTCCAAAACAGACTTCTTTCTACTTTTTTATATTGGGTTTGGAAATATTCATTGTATTTCTGGTATGGAGAGACCAGTAGGCCCCACCTAAGATTATGGCACCATGGTCTGGAAGCTTGTTACAATCACACAGTTCCTGCCAGGAGAAGCTTACACAGACCAGAGATATGGCAGACTAGCAAGTAGTGTCCCTGTTGCTTGCAGATGGACAATGAAGGCACAGAGAAAAAAAACCACGAGATCTGCTCAGGATCTGAGCTGGGAAGTAACATATCCTGGCTCCCAAAGCAGAGCCCCCTTCTCCAGTATCATTAATTGTAAGCTGACGAAAATGAAACACAAACACCTAGATGGAAGTGCCAGGAGGAGCAAAGGCATTTTACAAGCAGTGGGAGAATGCGAAGAGAAAGTCTAAGAAGCAGCAGCAGCACAACAGCTTAACTCTGCTCTGACAACTGCTTATACCAAATGCAAACCTTCGATTTCTCCCCATTTGTTCTTCCCTTTTGCTTTTATTAGCCCAAACTAGCATTATTTTTTTTTTTGTAGTATTAGCAGCTCGGCACAGCAATACAACAGTACAGTGGAACGCAGAGAGGGGTGACTTACCGCTGTTGAGAAATGGTGGATTACAGCAATAGAGATGCAGGCGTCACAAGAACCACTGCAGATTGGCACCGACAGGGCATCACAGACAAAAGCCTGGAAATTTTTTTCTCCACAAATATCTGCCAGGTTTTTGCTGCGATCACAGCCAACCTACAACAGAAAGTGTTTCATTAAATTTTTCATAAGAGGATAATTACAAAACTGGAAAATGACTTTCACTTGATGTTTACAGTAATAGAGTCATCACAGTCTCCTACTGAGGTAATGTTGCTGAAATCCGGAATAAAACTCCTTAACAGCAATGAGAAGTTAAGAAGCAGGCACTTCTTTATTGCAGCGCTGGGCACACAGGGGATCACTCCACCTAGTGTGTGCACCTGTCTAGTTTAATCATGCAGGTTAAATACACACCTGTTATACATATTCACTAAATTTCTGGGAAATGTCATACATAATCATCAACTGTCCGATAAATCATTAGCATATGTAAATGTCCCTTTACGCAGGCGTGGTGAAGTCTCTGGTGGTCTTCAGAAGCCCTCTGGTGGTCTTCCATAGTCTTCCTCACTTTGTCCGATAGCTGACCTCTCTTATGTGATTCTGCGCAGTACGATTTTTGCCATCATGTATTAGATTTACATACAAAGTACATTCAATGTTAATTCTTGAATTTAACGTTTCGTGTGATTGGCCCTCAGTCACACCACCTTTTCAATATTCTTATACTAAAACATTCATTGGTTAATCTTACTTAATTCCACTAACTGGAATCTTGATCAAAGTGGGGTTTCTAAGCAACAGAACTAAGGTCCATAACGATCTCTCTTAGTTTCTTAGGACAAAACACTACAAACTAACAAATCGGTCAAAGTTTCTATGGTTAACTGATTTTAGACAATATTTATTTTCTTATGACTGTATACAGCACATTTTGTATGTTCCTAAGTTTCGATGACTACATCGCGAGCTTCAAACCCCTATATTCTACAGTCCTTACCTTTTGATCAAACCCAGCTTATATAAAATTTTAACTTATCAGAATATTTGTAACAGTAACACATTTTAGTTTAAAATAAAAACAAGAGCAAGTGTGAGAAAATGGCCTTAAGTAAGAGGAATATATGGTTCCCAAGTATACACGAAAAAACCCCAACCCTCATGCTTACTTAAAACAAAGATGGCAGATTGGATATTAGACAGCTCATTATAGCACCCTGATTTTGAACCAGCTTAAGACAGAACAGATTTCAACCTCACTTTTCCTCAAAACTGGCTCTTAAGGTATCTTGAAACCAGCAAAACGAGAGGTGACCTAACCTCAGTATTTTCTTGTCCTTTCAGTTGCTATTTGTAACCTGACAACATTTGAAGCAGCCAAATACTGAACTCACAAAAGCTGAATCTACCAGTGTAAACGACAATCTGGTGACTTTGGTGGCATCACTGAAGTATGTTGCACAGCTTCACGAGTCACCCAGGTTTTGTCATTTCAGTTTAAGTAAGGAAGTGTTCAGGTACAGTCCTCTTCACCCTCAGTATCACAATCCACAAAAATTTAAGCACAACATAATTTTCCAAGTTTCTGTACAGTCCAAATGAAGTGACCCCTAGGAACCATTTCAGGACACCCCATAAAACATTTCTTTTTTTCCCCTTTGAACCTGGTCCAGTGTCCAGGTCAAAGATGGTAAGAAAAAGCATCTAGAAGAGGTTTTTTATGTGCTTGCATAAAAACAATAAATCCAAACTGATCAAGACCCTTCTGAAAGAACAAATAGAGCAAGGCATGCACCACCCTCATTTTCATGCCTGCCATGCACATTGAATACTCAAACCAAAGCCCTGCTACCAAGTCATATATCAAAATCAGCTTGCATGAGAATATTTAATTTATTTTTGTTTTCAATGACCAGCAATAAGTAGATAGCAGAAAACAGATTCAGAATCCTGAATAATTACTGCTAACAGTGTTTACTGCATTTGACACAGAAAGAATACTGAAGCATCCTTGATGCAAGAAGAATAGCAAACAACTTGCTCTGGTTAATCAACCCAGCAGAGACAACAGTACTGCTAAAATGAAAAATCTCTTTTGCAATGATTAATGAAAATACATTTATTTTCCATTGTAACTTTTCATTTTATCAGTTCAAATCATTTCAGCCTTCAGTCTACCATCACAGTTTTGAAGAAAACCAGGATTCTGTTCCAGTCATACGTTCTGAAAGCTTTCAGGTGAGTTGCTTTCTAGTCAGGTCCCTGACTTTTGGTCCAAAGTAACTGAAAAAGTTGTGACAATGCCAACCTGACAACCCAAGATAATCCTCCACAAAAACAGTACTATGAATATGTACATATTGTCCTGCCAATTAGCTCTAAACAGACCTGAAAAGATCAATCCTAGCATTGCTTTCTTCCCATTTATTCCTTGGCCTCTTCTCCATGTTCACTGAAGCACCAGGTGAATAGTGTTATTTACGAACAAAAAAAGGAAACTCTTGTTTACTTGGAAGTAAACATAAATCCACATAATTTCACAGTGGAAGCCAACTGAAGTGTCTTTAAATTATTCTCATCATGGAATGGATTTAGCTGAAAACCTGCATGTTAGAGATTCCATGCTTCATTACCAGTGCCTTCAACTACTTTTGCAATTAAGACGTTAGCATGCAGTATTTAATAAAACTCAAAGGACCAAATTCACTGCTGGCAGTAGGAGTGATGCCTTGAACAAAGGCAGGAGAAGGAAAATTTTACTGTATTGCTGTACTAACGAACTTTTGCTTGCTTGCAAACTTCAAAATTTTGGCATGTACTAATTAGGTAAGAAAACCTTGAGCTTTGTCAATGGTATGTGCTGGAGGCACCAACAGACAGGAGGCTTGGGCCTGATGTGCGTCAACAGACAAGAAGCCTTGGGTCTTGATGATAAGTTTTGAGTTCTACTGAGTTTCTGTAATTAAAAATTGCCAAGGCCAGTTAACTAGGAGAAAGAGATGACCCACACTGCGTTTGATCAAAGGGTGGACACTATGTAAATGATAATATGAATACGTATGACTGGAATAATATAAATTTTGCTTGCTGCAGGTAATGGTGTGCACGATAGGTGGAGCAATCCCCTGTGCACCCAGCGCTGCAATGAAGAATGCCTGCTTTCTAAAACTCCAAAATCAAATCGAGTCTTAGAGAGTTTCTTTGACCAGCTTTTTTGGTAACAGGAGGGAGAAGAATACTTGCAACTTCCACTGACATCAAGCTTTCCCAGAAAAAATTGCTTTGGCCCTGCAAGTCTATAGTAAAAATGGGCTGGATAATGGAACTCAATCCTCCCCTCCCAAAACAACCTTGAAGAGGACTCCGCTGTATGTTGATGAAATCCAACGAACTGAGAATGAGAACAAAGGCGTGACTGCCAGAATGTGAAGTCCTCATTTGCATCTAAATTATATCAAATAACTACAAAGTCAGGCTTACTTGTATTGTCATACTTATTAAAGTGAATCTACATCCAGAGCAAAAAGATTCTGTTTCATAATGAAAATGGAGACCTTGAAATGGATCACTTTGAAGGCACAGCTGCTCTAAAATAGGTATATTAGGCTAAAACTTTATGTGGTTTTAAATGTAAACATTGTAAGAGGTGCTATGCATATATGCATAACTGCTGAACACAAGGAGTCACCACAGACATGCCTGGTGCTAAAGCCAAGCAAATTTAGCATCCTTACTAGAACTACCTCTGCACGATATTTTAAAAGAATTATCATCACCACATTCTTGCATTTTCTAGCTTACAAGAAACATGCATTCATTAAAAACCAAAATATATTGGTTTCACTTGCTTAGAAAACAATAGGCTAGCAAAAAGTAGCTAACTTCAGTGGTGCAATGCCAGCTTACAGCTAGAAAATAAGCATATCAGATTTTTTTATGAGTATAGAAAGCATTTACAGCAAGGGGCAGAGACCCCAAACTCAACTTTTCCCAATCCTGTTACTAACTGATTTCTACATTCTGAAGCATGTGGAAGCTCTGATGTGATGAAGCTTTGTTTACAGAAAACAGTTGAAAGGAATGTTTTGCTTTAGAATAGGTTTATTTTTCTCTAATTAAAAATGTAATCAAAACATTTAAAAAAAACTTCTCAAAATATAACTGGAATGCTTTAATTTTTGCCAGTTCATATCTCTAATTTTGATGCTCAGCACAGGATACTGTCCTTGCTGACATCTCTTCTAGAAGAGTGGAGAAAGGCAGATGAATTACTATTAGTTCAGTGTCCAAAACCAAGAGAATCTAGTGCATCTCTTCACGAGCCAGATTGTATACATTTTTGAGGTTCCCTATTTCTTATTATCTGTGAGTCTTCTCAATCATTTCTTATACCTGTTCTCCCAGTTTTCCAAATCAAATTCCTTGCTCAAACCACCCAACTTCTCATATATATCTCAAATAGCATGGCTGACTATTCAGCTGAATCCACCTCTTAGCAAGTCCACCCCTCAGCAAGTTGTTCTACACCTTTTAATATTTCCCAAAAAGAGGTTGGCTTCTCAGGTTTCTCAGATTTCACTCGAGGCAGCCATTCCCACATCCCTGCCTTTTTGGCAGGTACCTCCACCCCTCTCTTCACTACTTTTTGTGATGTGGACAATGGCTCACAGGAGCTCCAGAGACTCCAGAGACTAATGGAAGTATCAAAAAAGACTAAGATAAAAGAGGATAATGGAAGGGAGAAACAAATGTAACACCTGCAATCTGTCTGAGTTTGCAGCAGCTCTGTACTGGCTTCCTGGGAACTGGATAACACAGGCAGGTATCTCATCCTGCTCCTTTGCGTTCCCAGGCACCTTCACTGTTTCAGCCAGGAGTAGCTAAAATAAGTTTTATAAAATCTACTTAATGCAGTGGTTTGGAATAGATCATTAGGGGGCAAAAGACACTAAATAAATAGCTTGTTTTATAACAGTGCCGCAAATCTGCAAGAGATAAATCCTCTTGCAAGCTTAAATAAAGATAGGTAAAGACAGGTCGATGTTGCCCACCATCATATATTTTGTTTCTACATTATCTCATTATAACTAACTCTACCTGGTAGAATTAGTTCATTTAAGTATCTGGAAACCTGACTGATTCATCACATTAGA